TTGTGCTCCCCATGATAAGTGAACCTGACCTTAGAAGGGGTAGAGGAGAAAATTCTGCTGTTCAAGAAGTGGGCTGAACTAATCCTCATTTTGCCAGATCAATTGAGAAGACCCTTCCCTCAGGAATAAATAGAAGACAAAGAAGGGAGATTTTGGTATAAAGCAAGAAAACATAAAGAAGATTTCTAAATATAAATTTGTGTTTCCCAAACAACTTTCTAAGACAACACATGGTGTTTACCCTGTGCCAGGTTCAGTTCAAACCACTTTACAAATATTAACTCATTTAACCCTCGTAACCACCTTATGAGGTAGATATTATTGTCCCAGTTTACAGTTGGGGAAGCTGAGCCACAAAGAGGTTATGCAACTTGCTGAAAGTCACCCAGACATGTGGGTGATTTTAAGCCCAGACATTGCAGTGGGGCAAGAAAATTATTGTACAAAAATTAATGGAGAAGAAAGCCCATTTAAAATGTCTTCTTTTGACAAAGAGTTCAGGTATTATCACAAAGAATTTAAACAGGTGTATCAACAACATTGCTGTCAGTAATGAGATACCTAAGCCCTGCTTCTCAGGTGATTTCGGCTCTTATGAGTTGCCTTACTAACACAGTGCTGGCTAGGCCATTCTTCTTTTATTTCTTTTGGCAAACATCTGCTGAACACCAACCATGTGCCAGGCACAGTGCTAGGACACCAAGATAATTATGACAAGTTGTTGACTCAAGAAGCTCACAGTCAAGTGGGGAAAATTGAGAGATGAACCAACAGTCATATACACACTAAAGACAGGGTAGCTCTGCCTTTCTTCATAGAAGCAAGCCTCATTTTCTCTCAACTCAGAACTGGAGCCAGCACATTCGTTTACAAGAGAAGTGACTGCCACAATCTGTCCGCTGACAAAGCTAAGCAGGATGCTTTGTTTTTTGCCTTCCTTCTCCACATCTCTTTTGTATCTCTCCATCCTTCAGACATTTTCCCTCTTTCTCTTATTTTTTCCTGTCCTCTTAGTTGACCAAAGACCTTTCCAGGGCCTCTCCCAAGCACTTATTCTCTGAGCCTATGTGTCTTGCTAGTGTATCTGAACATCCAAAGGTAAGTCAAAGAGTGAAAAGGGTTGGGAGACACTGACCCAGATCTTGTCAAGCTCATATCAGGTTATATTGCCTTGTGACACTGGCATTTCCTGTCTCTCTGTAACCTCAATAGTGAACTGAACATCCCACAATGTTCCTTAATTCAAATGCAGTTTGGCTAGGTATGCTAAGATCAGGAACATTTTGAGAGAGAGATTAAAGTAGATACTAGAGGTGAAAAAAAGCAAAGTCTGAGGAAAAAGAGTAGCCTTTCTCCTGCTTTCTGCCCCATAAATGCCATCTCTGCATTAGACTTCCCATGACAAAGCCTAGATGGTATTACTGGGAAAAGTGCATCAGTCAGAGGAAATAAAGAAACTGCTTTGTTTGGGGCAAAGAGAAAGGAGACTCAGGAAGGTGACGATGATTAAGATTAATAGACTGTCCTCCAGCTAACTATGTTTGTTAGTTACAAACCTGTAAAGAAAGCATCTTTAAAGGAAAACCTTTATTATAATAACTTTATTGCTTATCTTCTATTAACTCCATTACTCTACCCCATCTCTCCCTAAAAGACTTAAAGTACTGTCATTTTCAGAATTCAGTTACTTATGGGCGATGTTTCTTGCTCTCAACCTACTGGAAGGCAGTGAAACCAGATGGCTCGCCTCCCTTTCTGCTGCTTTGCTAGTCCCAGAACAGGTTCTTTGCCTTCCTTTGTTTCATCCACTTATCTGCCCAGAAATCCATCCATCAAACATTTATTGGGCTTATCCTTTGTGCAAAGTTCTCTGATGGCTTCACCAGAGAATACAAAAATTCAGAGACACATTTGAAGCTTTTAGGAACTTGAAATCTGTCAAGGAAACACATTTAAATATAATAAGTACAGACGCAAGAGATTTTGTGGAACTTGGGTTGACTCTTCTTTTTAGAAGTAATATGTTTCTTTGAAAGCACTCCTCCTACATCTGATGTTTTTTCCCTCCTCTATGAGCTCCTGGAAGGCCAAGTTGATCCTTTAGGAAAGACAGTTTGGGCCCAGGCCTGGAGATAGCAACTTTGGAATCAGGATGGACACCTCCAACTCCAAGATTTCAACCAGAAGGCAACATATGCTTGGGCCAGAGTCACGCCTGGCTGCATGCCAGATCTTAGGACCAACAGAGACCACCTGCATTGCCCGGATGACAGCAGCAGAGGCAATGCTTACTTTTCCACGATTCCTTTAAACAAGTTATTGCCCTTTGTTCAAGAGCATAACTATCAAGAGCATGCCAAAAGTCACGTCACACTCATTCTTTGAAGAATTTCATCACTGGATTAGCTGTTTTTGGGTAAAAGATCTAGGGAAAGCGCTGGCATTGAATGGGGGTGGGATGTGCAAGAGTAAATAGCAGATTGGAAACAGAATTTCTGAACAGGGGGTTGTGGTGTTTGGCATGTAGTTTTTGAACCAAACGATAGAAAAACTGGGGTATAGTCTCCATGTTTTCAACCAAGTCTATTAAGGGTTACAAAGTCATTCTAGATAAAATGGATAATAGAAACCTCTATATCACTGAGTTTGAAACATAGGTCCCCAAGCATCCTTTTTTATTTAACTGGGGTGAGGTCAGCTTTACTTGGGGGTGTTCAGAAAAGGCTGAAGAGAGACTGCGTACTCCACCTGAGTCTGGAAGGATTAGTAATTCACAAGGTATGCAAATAGGGGAAATAAATTCTAAATAGAAGAAGGATGGAGATGTAGAAGGGCTGGGATACAGGAGCAGAGAGAGTGAGAGGACTAGAAGGATGGCCCCACAGCCTGCATATTCCATGTCAACGAACAGTAGGCTGCTAGTGGTGACATACTGGATGGAAAGAAGCTGAAGGAAGTGAAGCTCAACTACAGGACCCTCCATGGTGGGAAGTGTTCAGAGTTTCCTCTATCCACTGGGGCAGGTGTTTCTGGGAAAGGGAGCTGCACAAGGAGTCCACAGAAGAATCCATTACAAATGGAAGTTTGGTAAAAGATATACTTGGAACCGAGGGTACCCCAGCAGCAACGCTGATGGCTGCTCCATATCTACTCCTTTGGGTGGTCCGGCCTTCTCCATGCTCCCATTCCCCAGCCCGAGACCACAACTTCTGAAGAGACTTGCTTTGGGAGTCATTTCTCTTTATTAACGTATCACTTGGACAGCAAACAAACAGCACAAGCAAAAATTACAAACCAACACGCAAAATAAATTATGACATTGGTATGCAAAAGTAGATGATAGAAGAAACTGTGCTACCAAGAGGGCCTCCCGGTCCAGTGTCTGGAGATTTGCTAGGTGTTGACAGCCCCAAGAGCTTGTGATAAATCTTTTGTGAGATATTTAGAGCCAAATTCCCCACTCCAGGCACATCTAATGTGGTCCAAATTCCTGCACACGAACAGGTACACACAGATGCATGCACAGGGAATGGGAGTAGGGGATGACTTCTAAACAACAACCAGCTCAGTAACAAGCAAAATGGACCCAGCTATGCTTTCCCTGTGACTCTGGAAGGAGACGAGTTCCTGTCACTCATCCTTTGCCAACTCTCTGGCTCCATTGGGAGGTGCAGGTAGGCCTCTGAGGCAGTGAGGGCTGCTTCCCAAGGCGAGGAATTCAGTTTTGTTATCCTGGGGCAGGTATCCTGGACTCCAGGATGGGCACATCTCAGCTTTCCTACCCTACCTTTGCTTTATTGTCTGGCCTCCCAAGCCCTGTTTGCCACTCCCAGAAGTTGGAGTGAAGACATATGTCCCCAGGAAAATCTATCAACTTGGAGTCCATGAACTGTGGGCAAGCCCTACATCAGCCACTTTCCAGCTGAGTGATGTTAGGGAAGTCACCTCAGTTCTTGAAGCCTCGCATTCCCCATATTCTTCATATTCCCCATCTGTAAAAGTGGGAACGAGAGTGTCTACTTCACGGGGCTATCATAAGGAATTACTAAAATTTGATACTGCCAAGTACAGTGCCAGACTCAACATAAATGTTCAAAACCTGTTTTCTTTCCTGCCTTTTTCTCTTCCATTTCCTCCATTCTATTTCCCCATTTTCTGTTTCCAGGACACCAGGTTCCACCACATATCCATTGGTGGTCATGTAATTCCAATGGCACCAAAAGCAACTTTGACCAACAGGGCCTTCCTGACCCCAACAGAGATTTCCAGTGTGTGTGTTTCCCGCCCAGTCCAAAACTACACTACTGGCAGAGTCAAAGAGTTGGACCACAAAACCGGAAGACAGTCTGGGCCTCAGATGCCATCCAAGCCCAGGAGAGAAATCTGAGTAGCCTGTGGCCATATGGAGACCTGACTGTCTCAGGGATGATGGTGAGGTGCCATAATGATGGAAAGACATGAACACCAAATAGTGCTATAGAGGTGGCTCTGAGCTGAGTGTGGCCAGAAGCTGGGACCTAAGGGTGTTGCTGTTTACAACCTTCAGCAGAAACAAAACTACCCCCTGCCAAGAGCGAGAAACTCAAGGATGTAGGAAACATATCTTTGTAGCAGGTCTGCCACTAAAAGGCCAGTTTGATGGGTCACAGTCCACAATTCTGGTTCTGTAGAAATTTTCCTTCCATCTCTCCATCTGTCTGTCCACCAGCCATCTATTTGATGTATATTAAGTGTTTTGTAGAACACACGCTAACCCGGACAGAAAACCCTCCGTGCTCTTTTAGCACTTTTTATTCAAAGAGTATCTTTTATGGTCACTCAACTGGAGTCTCTTACAGGAATGCTGTGAGGTAGTAACAAGATAGACAATACCCTCCTTTTATGGATCAAGAAGTGCTCAGGATGACACAGTACTCAAGTGAGCATAGCTGAAACACAGTAAGGGCTGGTCAAATACAGGATGCTGGTATGTTCCCTGAAGGCCGGAACTGGTTTTCCTCCTGTAGGCCTTAGTAAGGCTTGTCCTGAACTGACCTCTATATCCAGATATGCTCTGCTGCTTTTCACACCAGTGTGGGTTTCAAGTCATCTTTGAAATTCACAATAGGCTTTGAGCGGGCCCACAGCTGTTCCCAAGAAGCCAGCCCCCTAGCATGCTCGGGGTTGGTGTCTGAAGAGCCACTGTCACTGGAATCAGAGGAACTCTGGAAGCAGATTTCACAGTAGGGCCGGTGGCAGCGGCAGAAGAACTCGTCTGAGCTGCTGGACTCAGTGTCAAGGAAACTGCATGGAGAAGAAAGGGAGGGACGCCCTGGGGACCCTGAGGACTGCAGCTGCCACTGGTCAGGCAGATCTGGCGAGGGTCTGGATAGGTGTGGGCCAGTGGGCCCGTGTGCCTGGTCAGAACCAGAAGGCTGGTGAGGAAAGGCTGCATGATGGCCACTGGCCCTTTGAGGCTCTGTTTGGCGTTGTTTGCTATCCTCCAGGGTGCCCGGCTTGCCTTCAGGATCTGAAAGTAGTGAAGCCTTTTTGGAAAAGAGTACCCTGGAATCAGCAGTCTGGGAGTCCAGGCCGAGGCTGTCTCTGTTTTGCACATTTAGCCCACTTTGTGCCCCAGAAATAGTCCTATTTGCCCGATGCTCCACATAGGAGGGTACAGAGCCCAGAAAGTGTGAGCGAGCCCGCTGCGCTGCCCGCCTTCTCCTTACCATGTATGGGCTGAAGCCCAACTCCTTGGAGAGGGGCATCTCCTGGGGGCTGTGGGCAGCACTGCTCTTCCAGGGCTGCTGGGGACGAGGTGGGGAAGAGGGGAGAGAAGCCTCAGGGCCTGGGCCCAGATCTCGTAGGACTTCCTGAAGCTTCTCTCTGATTATTGAATTGACTCTTAACATCTGCTTTTGAGGCTCTCTTGAGTTCTCCAGCTGCCCCAGTCTCTGGGGAGCAGAGCCTCCTTCACCTGGTATGAGACTCTGGTGGGGGGCCGTAGGTACCTGGTCACTTCTTTCTGCATCCTGTGTCTTTTTGCTGCAGCCCGAATTTAAATGATCAGAAAAGTCTTTCAAGTCATATATCTCCTTCTGCCCTGGGGAGGAGCCAGTGTCCTTCCCAGGCCCCCTGAGGCTTTGTGCACTAGAGGAAGGCACTGAGGTACTCTGGGAGTCCTGGGGAGCCACACTGGTATCATTCCGAGAGTCAGAGAGACATTCCAAAGGTCTTTGAGCTGCCAGGCTGTGCACAGGGGCTGCAGCCTGGCCATCCTTGCTGTAGGAAGAGGCAGGCGGCACAGCCCACTCTGGGGGGTCATAGGTGCACTCAGCTGACATCAGCCTCACTAGCTTCTCTTTGGCATTGTTTACTTGTTCCTGTAGGCTTTCGATCACAGCATTTTTCTGTAAGAAAAAAGCAAAACCACCAACAAAAGATACCACTGAAGATTTTCACACTGTATCCCATGGTGGAGAGAGTGTGGTACCAGAAGACCTTGGTTTAAATCCCAGTTCCTCTGTGTATTAGGTGCTGATCTTAGGCCCTAAGGAAGCACCTCCATGAGGTGAAGTTAAGTTGATGCACACAAAGTGCTTAGCAACATAACTGACACGTGGTGCTCAGTAAAGGTCAACTATGATTTATTGTTGTATGATCTTAATCCCCCACCTTATAGTCTCACACTGTGGCATTGTCTGTGAGACGGGAGGTTGGAGGAGGCACAGCTTAGCAGCTTGCTGGCTGCTGCACACCCTTTCAATTTTCCTCAGAACTGAGAAGAGCAAGCTGCTCTGCAGGACACCAGTCTGAATAATGTCTGGGATGGCCCAACTCTGGGTTTATCACACTTTTGCAAAATACAGATGAATTCGAGGCACATCTCAAGGGGATGATCGAGTGGGGAAACAAGTATTTTGCCTCTTGCTAAACAGACTAGAAAATGAAAAAACGGAGAGAAGGGTGGCACTTCCTGGGCCAAAGAGATAAAACTGGAGCCAGGAGGGGGCCAGTGAGAATCTCAGGCTGGTGTCACCACCTCCCTTGGTTAGACCTTGTGGGGTGAGAGGCGAAAGCTACCACATGGCACTCTCGGTTATCAATCATCTCTTAAAGAAGCGTGGCATTGAAATTATTGGAGAAGTTTGTTTTATTTATTTGTTTGTTTGTTTGTTTGTTTATTAATAGGATTGTTGGGCCTAAGTCTCTGATAGTTTGATTCAGCAGATCTAGAATGGAGCCAGAAGATGAATGAGTCTGGGGGCAGTTCTGCTACTGAGCTGCCTATCTGTCACATGGCTGTTAGTTGATAAACAGGCTGTGCCCAGAAGGAATGGCAGGTATGAGCTGCAGAGGTGTGCCCATTCCAGCTGTGAGGTTATGGGCATGAAGTAGGAGGAAGAGTACCAGCGGTGGGTATGCCCCAAGCATCCTTCAGCGATTCGGCGGCTGATTCTCTAACTCAGACTTTCTGTCGACCTTCTGAAATCCTGATGCTCAAAGGCAGTGGAACAGGGAAGAGATCATCATGGGAAAATGATGGTCCTGGGGCAGATAACGGGGGTCAAGGGTTTGAGGAAAGTAAAACACAAGTGCTGTGTTCTAGGGACTCCTTGCCTGAATACTAAAATGCTGCCTCTTTGCTGCCATCCTCTTTAGAAGAGGAGGGTGAGCACTTGGACACCCATTTATCATGCCCTAGAAATAAAAGGATGGTTCCCTTCTCTAGAATACCTGATACAAGTCGCCTAGGCACCAAACCTGTGGTGTCTTCTCAGGTTGACATGGGAGAGTTGCCCAGCAGTGACCATTTCGGAAAGCAGTACCTTAAGTAAACTAGGCCAACAGTAGCTTTCTGGCGGCAGCTCCAAGGCAGATGTATTGCTCCCTACTTATAAGCAGGAAGGTGATTTCTCTGATTACTGAGACTCCCAGTTATATCCTGGTTTAGTCTACTTCTTTTATCATCAGAAGGGAGTCCCAGACCAGTGAGTAACTGGTGAGTAAGTAGAAGGGACTTACAGCTGAGCACATGCATGCCCGTTCTCCCTTCTCCTCACCCGCAGAGTGGTGAGGCCTGGGTGTTGTCAGAGAAGTGTAGATGACTCAAGGACTCACCAGGAGCAGAGTGGATGAGTAACTGGGAGACATTCATTCAGGGTTTTCATGATACCTGGCTGGTGCCCCAACCCTCTTCCTCCTCAGCAGCCCCTCCTCATGAAGCCTGCCTTGCACATTGTCAGGCTGGCTTCAGGATGCCTCTACTGCCTCAGAGTTAAGAGGAAGCCACCAGCTGATGACAACTACCCGGCGAGTAAACTCTTGAGTGCTGTCTTTTTGTGCCTTATCCACAAATTTCTTTGAGTATAGAAAAATAGGATAAACATTGAGTTGAGAAGATTACTCCTCTCTCAGCAGACCAAACATTTAAAGTTGGCTGGTGACAGATTCAGAAACATCAGCCTAAACGGTAAATTTCTCTCCTTTCAGAGAAAGAAGTGGAACTCTGTTTTCACTATGGCTGCATACTAATTAATTAGAGGCATAGTGTGAGCCACTGCCATTGTGAGACTAAAATCTGACCTACCATGGCAGCTGCATTTAAATGAGCTTATTAATTATTACTTTTGGCACATCCGGGGAAGCAAACATGCACAGGCGTGTTTTATAAGGTGCAGGTTATAAGAAGAAATGGAATCACCTTCTTGCTTCTATGGTTCAAGGAAGAAAAATAATAGATGGGTTTCTTCTGCTGCAGAGTGTAGAAGGGAGGTTCTTCAATCTTTGGGAAGGTTCTATCTGCTGGCCTTAACACAGCCTGGGAAGTCTGATGGATGCTTCCCCAAAGAGCCTTTTGGGGACCCCTGGCTATAGGGCCAAAGGAGGCAAGAATGAGAAGATGGACCATGCAGATCATGGGAAAGTAAGAGGAAGATACCAGGGTGGCAGAGGGGCTGCACAGGAGGGAACTGCAACCAAGAAGCTGGAGTCAGGGTCTGTGCACATTTTGAGGGAGGATAGATACTGCATGACCACCAGGCAGTGCCGGAGCTGGGGATTTAGATACTGGAACCTCTCTAGGCCTGCTATGGGGCCCTGGGATGGCTGCCGTTCTCAGGCTTGTTCTGGGAAACATGTTCCAGGTGTAGGGTGTTCAGGGAGAGGCCAGCTTTTTACTGCCTATGCATCTGCTTCCCATTAGGACCCTTCCTCTGCAAACTCAAAGCATCTTTTGGGATAGAGCAGATTTAGTCACTGCGTGGGAAACAGGGGAGCATGGCAGAAGTACAAAAAGCACGTCACAAATTACCATAAGGTTAAAGAGTCAGGCCACTTGGCTGTTCCAACATTAGCTGATTGTGAATGAAAACCATCCTGGCTGTTCTCGCCAAATTTCTGGCCTTCTGTTGAGCTGAAAAAAAATGCTTCTTTGAAGCCTTCACAGAATATCAAAGGCAATACTACTCCCTTGCCAGGTGGGGAGAAATCTGGCTTTGAAACAAGGTCCTGAAAGCTTCATAAATAGTAATGTAATGGAGAAGTATTACTCCGATGGGTAAAAAAGGTCCAGGACTGAGCGTATGGTGTGGGAGACTAGAGGGGCATGAAGAGTGGGTGGTTAATCCCTTCATTGGCTGTGTTTCTTAGGTCCTCATCACACTATCCTCTCACATAAGACTACTGATATCCGAGTGCCAGCCCAATTACAGAAAAATATAGTTTCCCAAATAGCACCTACTCAGGTATGTTCTATACTGAAAAGAACATGGAATATAATTTAGTTAGTGTGAAAATACTGACTAATTCTTCTGGGCCCCGTGCCTCCTTTTTGAGGCAGCACACCCTCAAGCTTTTCCGTGTGCTTTCTTCAAGCCCACACCACACTGCCCAATTCTGGGAGAGGTGCCAACTCTGGCTCAAGTACAGAAGAAAGAAGCAGCTGAGGGCTGCCTGGTACCCTCTTGGTGCTACTGTGATATTCAGAGGCCCTATTCAGCCCTCCTCCTCATCTTTAGATACTTCTTGACTCTCTGGATTGGTGGTATGATTGAGATCTCTAGGTAGAACCGGGAAAAGACTATAGGGCCCCTTAAGATCTTGTAAATGAGGACACCACTCTGCGTAAAGAAAGAATGTATCATACAGAAGAACCTAGCATCCACTACAACTCAGGGCCTTTGCAGTGCTGTTCACCTGCTTGAAATGCTTTTCTTTGCATTCTTTGCCTAGCCAGTTGTACTTGACCTTTAGCTCTCAGCTCAGAGAGTCTTTCCTGATAGCTCTAAATTAGGTTCCCTTGCTCTCACCACCCATTATTCTGTCTTACCACCCTGATTTTTTCCTTCATCATTCTCTTGATCAATATCTATTCACTCCATTAGACTGTGAGCTCCATGAGGGTAGGGACTATGTTTTATTCATTAGCATTTAGCTCAATGCCTGGCACACATCTATTCAGTGAATGAATGAATGGGTGAGGGGCAGCAGTGGGAGTCACTGGGAAAATGTTGAGGTTTTGCCAGAGGCTAAGGGAAGTAGGAATGGCTAGGAAGTGGGGGAAGGGAAGGAGAAGAAAGAATGTTAACGGTGCAACATCTGGGGCCCACCAGTGCATGACCAGAGTTCTTTATAGAGAATCCACTAGGCAGGGGTCTGGCTTACTTCTGTGAGGAGCCTTTCCATGGAGTTCCTCTCTCCTCTAGTGTGGCAATTCTGTTCCTCACCATACTGAGTATGGCAGCTTTTGCTGGGAGTGCTGAAATATTTGGCCATGCATCTGATTGTTTGGTTTTCCTCTTCAAATGCCTTCCATTGCTTCAGCTGTTAGATAAAAGAACACATGTTATTTATTTAATTACACACCCAGAAACACATTCTCTCACTCTTTCTCAAAAATACCAAGGAATGACAGTGATACACAAATGCACAAACTTCTCTCTCTCTTCAACATGTACTTTACTCTGAAAAGCTCATAGATAGTAGTGGCAAAAGGTATAGAGAATGCTAAGGCTATACAGTTTTAAAAAATGCCAAAGGAAGATGACAGGTAGATGAAACAACAATCTTAGTGTGACCTACTCATTGCTGAACTGGTCAAAGAAAACCAGAGTTGGAGTGTATTTCTAGGACCACATTCTAAAACCAGAGTTTAGGAGCTAGAACAGGGTTAAACAATCTAACCACTGTATGTTTCAAATGAAACTGTTTCTAGTTATACATAGCTGTTCTTAATTATCCTCATTTGTTGAGTAATGGTGTGCTTACTGCGACTGAAAACCCAGTTCCTTGCTGGAGGAATTTCTAACCCAAATCAATAATCAAGGCTCAGATATATAATGGTAACAAAAATCAATAAAGATGATAGAACATTAGGTTTGCGATCTGACCATCTTTTTCCCCTTAAAAAATGAGGAAAGACTCAGGAGTACAACTTGTCGAGGCCCACGCAGCTAGTTAACAGCAGAGCCACAGCTGTAACCGGGGCCCTGGGCCACACCGCATGAGCTCAACACAGCTAATGAAGAGAGACTGTTAATGGTGCAAGTC